GCTGGGCAGCTCACAGCCTTCAGACAGGGAGGACAGGTGCTGGGGGGTGGGGACCCTTTGGCCACCCCTGAGCTTAAGCCTTTTTCCAGCTCCCCTCCGGCCCTTCCCCAGATTCCTGCATGGCTCTTTTGTTTGGGGCCATCACTTTGTGGCTCCCCAAGAACCGAAATCTGTGGCAAAAGGACGCAGCTTTACGATTTCACTCCAAATATAAAACCTCTCCCAGCCCCTCTGCCCCACAAAGGGCGAAGAGGGAAGGTGGAGTGAGAGCTGTTGGTGTTTCTGGGGGACAGGACATGGCCAATTTTGGAGGTGACAGCCAAGGTTTTTGTTGACAGAGCATTTGCTCACATAGCTTCTCGCACGTGGAGCACTTAGCTTCCCAGAGCAGCCACCCATCTGTGTGGATGTGGGAGAAGGAGACACCTCCAGCTCTGGTCCCTGCTTGAAAGACACCACAGATCTCCTGAGGAGCTGCTTTATCCCCACGTGCCTGTAAGGAACAACCTGATTAACTCTTGCACTGATTCATCCTTATCCATTTATCTAACACAAACCATTCCTTACTCCATTAGGCCCTTGCTCTCACTGAGTAATCCCCGGTTGTATCATGCTTTGGAATTAGTCTGCAAGGTCCTCAGGGCAGGGATCATGCCTTGGAAGGTGTCTCACAGACTTTAGGCCATTGCTAAATTAATAAGGATGTAATAAAAGTATTAGAGCTCTACCGAGGGAGGCATTGTTATGCCCCAGAGGCAGCATATCTGGTTAACAACCCTGAAAAGAAATGCCAACAACATTAGCCTCTGCCCCTACATCCCTCCACCTAATGTAAAATTAAATAGCTACAAATTACCTATCTATTTTTCTATCTGCCTAGGCAATTAGCCCATGCTCATTACTGGACATGTGGGGATACATCCAGGCTCACCAAGATGGGAGGCACGACACACAACAAGGCAAGAGGAGATGCTCTGAGGCTTCTGCTCCCTTGTAAAACACACCATTAAACCACAACACATTGGACCATCAGCAGAGGTCAGAAAAAACCTGCAAAATCTGGCAAGAAAAATGTCCAAAGAGCAAGCTGAGAGCCAAGGGCAGCAAACAGGCTGTGAAAGTTTTCTCAAGGGTGTGGGCAGGACAGAGAGGAGCAGCCAGGGATGTTTATTCATGTGGGAAAGGCAAACACCAAGCTATAAGCAAATGTGGCATTTATTTGCAGTTAAACTCGTGCATACATCTCCATGAATAGGAGCTGCACCCCACTGTCAGGGAGCCTGCTGCCAATGGGGCATTGTCAAGGATAAATCCACGGAACTGCAGCCAGGGTACAGCTGAGCATCAAACAAAACATCCTGGAAGAAAATTCAGGGTGAAGATTTTCAGTCAGCAGCACAGGTAGAACTCCCCTAGGCCTGAGCTGAATTTGGGAGCAGAGGAGATCCCACACCTCCCTCCATGAAGCCCAGAATGCTGCCTCAAATCCAGTGCTTTAATCCAGTTAAGTTCAAGCGCTCTGCTCTGCTTGACAGTAATGTTATATTTTTAGGGCAGGATCAGAGGTCTGATGAAACCTCATGTTGCCAGCATAAAAGTAGAAGGAGCTTTAGTTAATCCCAAGGAAAAATGAAGCCCACCTCTTTCACCCCACACCCCTCCTGAAAAGAAAGAAAATAAATGCAAACCCCACATTTTACTCTCTTGGAAGAGAAAATTTCCTGCTGTCCTCAGATGGTTAAAGCATGCAGCTTTAGTGGGCTGCAGAAGGAATAGCAATTACATACCCTTCACCTCTTGCCAGCTTGGGCTCTTTTTTTTTTTTTTTTCCCTAAATCTTTCAAATGTTTTTGCTTTTTTTTTCCCCCAGCCCTTCTTATGGGGGGAAGTAGTCTCACCCTTCATGAGAAAGGGTGGTTTAGAGGTAGAATAAAATAAGATAAGGGAGTTCACAGTCTGCTTCAATGTCATTTAACAAATAAAATAAGAAAGAAAATTTTTAAAAAGAGAGAGAAAGGAAGGCCAGGTCTTCAGTGGAGTTAGCCTGGCCATGTTAAAGGAGCAGGTGTTGTACTGAGTTAATTTATCTGGGAGGGGACCTGAGCAAATCCCAGCAGCCCTGCTGAGAAAAAAGCTTTGTATGCTGACACAAAGCCCTCCCTGCTGCAGCACTGTTCTTGCTGTCTTCCCTTCCCTCCTCCCCAGCTTCTCCTAATTGCAGGGCTAATGTCCTCTGACAAGTGCCTCAGATGGTCCAACAACAGCCCTACCACCCATTCCCCATCCCTGATTATTATTATTTTCACAGCCCAAATCCCTGCCGACCTCAGGCTGCTGCTCCTGATTATTCTCCAGCACAACCCTGTCTGCTAAGGAGCTGCAAAATATTCCCTCTGCCATGCTGAGCACCCGGTTGCTTGGCTGTTGTGACACTGCTGCAATTTCTGGCATGAGGAGCGGTGCAAACGGGGTTCCAAAGATTCCTCTTTTGAGGCTGCAAGCCCAGGAGCCACATCAAAGCCGGGTGCTTGTCTGATGTTTGCTTGGAACGGTGGAGTTGGAGGGAGGGGGCCTATCTGCCTGCCATGCCTGGAATATGTGAGTTATTGGCACAGCCCCCAGCCACACCACAAGCTGTGTCTCAATTAAAACGGGGATCTGGAGAGCAGCAAGCCCAGGCAAGCAGAGATGGGGAGTAAGTTTATTTATGAAGTCATTAAAATAGGTAGATGGGCTTCATATGAGGTCAAGAGGAACAACCTGACAAAATCTTCTGTTGACAATGAAAAGGGAATTGCATAATCTTAGCATTTCTCACTCCCAAATCCATGCCCAGAAACCAGTGTTGCCCTGAGATCTCAGGCTTTTAAACAAAAATTACAATTTCCACCAGGGCCACATCATCCACCCTTGATGCAGGTCACTCTTACAAAGCCCAAAACATAGACCAAATACCTCCAGCAGCTCCGCTGTGCTTTGAGGCTTCTCTTCTTTTACTTGGAGGACTTTCCTCTGGGAATAGAGGCAATCATGGCAGCAGAAGGGAAGCCAACACCTGCAAGAGCTGATTTTCCCAGTAGCATCAAGACATGCCACAGCTTCTCTGCTGCTTGACACCAGAGTGAAATGGATGCTCTGGGAAGAGAGAGGGAGCAGACTCTTCTCCCTGCTCTCAATACCTCCAGAAGATGCATGGACTGTTGCTGGAATAACCTCATATCCACACCACCTCACTCATGGGTCAGAGCACAGCAGCCACAGGAGGGGACAAACAGGGTGGGAATGGGGTCCCCTGGCCATCCCCAGCTGCACACACCCCTTCATGCTACAGGGACAGGAAATTTGTCACTGTGGTTTGCAGGAGAGAAGGTTCCCATCAGGCAAGAGCTACCTTGCATCAAAGGATTCCTTCAGTGGGAAGGAGAGAGGGAATCTGGGCAGGAAAGATTTCAGGACATCAGCAAGCAGCAAAGGGCATCTCTTTCAAAAAGTGCTCAGGGGGGTTTCACTGCACAAGGCAAAAATAAAAGGAACTCCTTTAAAATGCAGTGAAAGGAAAAGCGTGTTGGGGAGGAAGAGGAGGGGCTGTGGAAAGGGATGAGAGCAGCTGGAGAGGAATTCCAGCGGGACAGATAGACAGGCAGTCACACAGTCTCTTAATTATTTAAAAAATAAACTAACACAGAAAAGGACGTCCTGGGGAGGAGGGGGAGGCAGAACCTCAGGGTACCCATCAATTATGCACAAACCAGCTCAGGGACACTGTGGAAAAGGGTCCTGTGGGCACCGGCACGGAAATGTCACCAGAACTGTGACACAGCACGGTACCTGGGTGACGCTTTGTTACCCCTGGCTCACTCTGCTGTGTAACTTGAGTTGGTATCCGCAGGAGGAAACAAAGGAGCACCAAGGCTTGGCAGTGGTTTGTGTTTCTAACTGCACTGCAACCACGTTTTCACCTGGCACTCCCCTGGCACATCAGGACCGGGACAGGATGGAGCCCTCCTGCTTTTTGGAACAGTGACCACAACCAACAACTGGGTGTTAAGTGGAAGCCAGCTGCATCCAGGTTGGTGCTGCCAGATCAAGGTAAGCCAAGCTGCACGGCAGGAGACACAGGAAATGAATCTGTCCCTGCCAATCGCTTTTCCTGACTGGAGCATCTCCTCCAGAGCTGCAGATTCCAAGTTCTTAACAGGATCATGTCACACACACTGCTTCTGCGAGCTACACAACATGATTTTTCTTGGCTGAACAGCCACCTACACTGCTGGATTTCAGATATTTTTTTTTTTTCCAAGAGTTCCATTAACAGAAAACCACCAAAATATGACAAAGTGGCAAAAGTATTTCTTCCCAGTTTTAATATTTTTCTTATAACTTGAGCCTTGAAATGATATCCCAATATCTTTAGTAAAGCTCTGGCCCAGAAAGTCTGAAGCTTAAGAGGGGAAGAGCCATGTCAGGCCCAGAGTGGTAATCCTGCATCCTATGTACACTTCTATTGTTTCTTGCTATGATGAGAAAATATATAATATTCCCTAGAAACCAAAAGCATTAACTTGCCTCATGCACACCATCAAATAGACATTGAACAGTAAGAGGTTTGGCTTACAAATGGGTGCTTCTAAAATTCTAGTTTTCATCCTTGTCCCAGTTTTAAACCACAACAAGCTTGTTAGTTTGAAGACCCAAAACCTTACAAAATCTTAACCCACCCAGGTGGTCCTAATTCCTTCTATTCCTCCAGCCTTTATTTATCCATGGACAAAATCGCTTTTCTTTGCATTGAGCTACTCTTTAAATCCTACAGAAACATGCAGCTTGCAAGCAAGAGGGGTGATGTGTGTTTGATAGAAACCACCCATAGAAATGAAACCACAATTTTTACGATAAATCAGCAGATGCGCAAGCACGCAGAAACTGTATATGCCATAATGATTTATTTAAAAAAAACAAATCCAGCTGTGGCAAAATAACGAGTTCCCTGCAAATGCACACACAAATTCTGGCTATTTCATTATGAACATATTAAATCTAGTCCCTCAACTCCAGCTCTTGATGATAATTAAATACACATAGATGTACTGCAGTGGATTTGCTCCTGGTAATTTGCATAGCAGAAAATAATTACTCTGGCAATTAGATACAGTGCAACGTGCTGCTCCTTTATGTGCACCACAAATTTCTTCTGATGTTTTGGCATCACCCTTTAAGAAATTAATGAAGGCCCCCTTCCTATTAATAGCATGCTACAGTGGGTTCATGGTGGCTTTGCCTCATGTGTTTGGAATAACTTTTGTCCTTGTTGCTAGGGCTGGTGCTGCAAACCTCTTGCTGCCTTTAAATAGCCAGCTCCTTTGCTGGCAGCAGTGCTTTCCATTTGTTAGCTATTATATTGGTCATTTGTCCAATTGTGCTGCTCTTGTCCAGTGATCAACCACACAGGGCCAGGGCGTCCTTCAGTTCAAGGGAAATAATCAGTTCGTTCCCCTCCTGTCCAGGCTATTTGTCTGTCAAACACAGGGATGATGACCGAGGAGAAAAGGTGCAGACTTGAATCTGTTTAGGTGAGACTCCTCATCCCAGGCTAAGCTTTAAAACCCCCAGGTTGAGAAAAGAAGTCCCCAGCCATCAGCAGGAGAAAAGGGAAGGATTAGGTAGAAGAGAAGCATCAGGGAAAGAAAAGCCACAGAACAGATTTGCAGGTCTGAGTTTAGTACAGCCAGAAAGCCCAGCCTTTTCTTCTCTAAAGGCATTTCCCTTTGAACATTGGTCATAAAAGCCTGTGAGAAAGCCTTCTCTCCCTCTTGAGGCTGCTGCCTGAGCTACAGCTGGTCCTGCCTGCAGCCTTCCCTGCACTTCAACCCTGAGCCTGTGCTGAAAGGGAGGGGATGCCTTAGGTTACTTCCAGCAGCTCCGGGTCTCCAGAGGGTATCACGGCTTCATTGTTCAAAGATGGGAGGCATCTACAATAAATTTTCATTAGTTAAGAATTTTGATATTTGAGAACCTATTTGCTGCCAGTGCACATCTAATAATAAAGGGAGAACAGGGAAACATGAAAGCCAAAACAGAAACAAGAAATGTGTGTGAGAGGCGAGACCATCACCATGGGGAACTTCTCACCCAGACAGCTCCTGGTCCTGCCTCCTTACAACCTCAGCATTTTTCACTGGTGCTGCTGCTCTTGCCCTGCTGCCCCGTGCTGTCCCAGCTTCTTTCAACACTTGCCCAAGAGCAACTCTCTCCCCTGAGCAACATCCGCCCCCCCCCCCCATTTCTGTTGTCCTTCACACTTTGATTTTGAGTGAGGTTTAATCTACTTGCACAAACTGATAAGAGAAAAGATGGCCCAGAATTGAGGGTGACAGCCTGGGCAGGGGAGAGCCACATTCAATTCTCTCTTCCACCGACTTCGTGCCTGACCCTGGGCATCCTATTTCACACCTCTTTTTGTCCACCACTGCCTTCTTCAAAGTACTGCTCAGAGATATTTATGTTTTATTTATGAACATCTATTTACTGTTCCAAACACTCTGAACTTGATGTTGGCCACCAGCCAGTTGAAAAAACTCCTGTCAGTTTTGGCTGGATGTTCATCCTTAGGTGAAACTGCAATTCTGCCATCACCCACAGCCAGACTCGGGCAGGTTTCACCCTCCCTTCCTAAGGGCCACGGGCAGCACTGCAGTCTGACCCAGCCCCCAGGGCACAGAGTGTGAGATGAACATGCAGAGGTGCTGCAGTTCTCCCAAAAGGAGCCCCAAACCCACCTGGAGGCCAGGCAGAGCTGAAGGGTGGGACACGGCCACCCAGCACTGAGACCCCCAGGCTGCCACTGGGGCGTGAAAAGGAAGAGGGAAAATGCAACAAAAGACAATAATAAAAAGACTTCCATTCCAAAGCACAATTAGGAAGAATGCACCCCTTTTTCTCAGGGTTGGGCTTTTTTTTCTTTTTCTCTCTTTGGCCTGGCTCACGGCTGCCTGCAGATCCCTTTCCTGGTTGCCTAGCAGGGCTAGCATTCATGGCAAGCTGAGGTACACCATGGATGCTCCCTGGAAGCAGGCTGCTATTTCCTACCCAGATGTCTTTTATTTCAGTCAGTGTCATTGCTTGAAGAGAAACAATAGCACTTTATTTCCGTGGTTCTCATCTTTGGATAGTCTAGCGACAACCTTGCCTTACCTTCAGCTCTGTTATACCCTCCATGAATAGCTCATACAGAATAATTCAAAGCAAATCAAGAAGGCTAAACCTGTAAATCCTCCCATTCTGCAGGGCCAAAGGGTTATTTTACAAAGCACAAGCACTCAGCCTACACAGTTCTGCTGGAGTACCCTGTAACAGTCAAGAACAGCTGAAGCAATTATCAATGCCCCATCTCCTCCAAAAGGCACAAACTCCAGGGAAGGAATCAATAGGAAAACTTTACAATACAGAGCCCTTTACTCAAGACACATTTAGGGATAAAGCCTTTAAAAGGCAAAGATGCTAGACTAGGACTTAGACTGAACTCCATCCTTTAATATCTGGCTGTGCCATGGATTCATGGGTTCCCCCATGCAAAATGTAAGACACTGATATTTGTTTCCTTAATCAAATTATTTGGAGCCCACTGACAGAACAGGCTGAATAAGAACTAAACCTCTAAGGTATTTGTACCTTCCTAATATTTAACAGAATAGTGTTAACACTGAGATGTGCTAGAGCAGACACAGGGACAAAAGCTTCTGCAAACTTCTAACCACAGGCACCACATTTGCAGGATATCTGACAGGAGATAATCCATCTCCTCCTGATCAGTTTTTGAATGGGATTTGTGACATGTCCACTTGTCACAAAGGCAGGAGAATCAGTTTGCTGATTCTCACACTCCTATGTCTCTAAAAACTGCACTTTTTACAAACTAGAAAGGGGAAATGTTCTCCTACACCTGCTGGCTACATGATGGATGGAGAGGCAGCTCAACCTCTCAAAAGGAATTGTCTTTAACAGAATTGCAGTGCAGGTTCCCAAAATACTGCCTGAAAGGTGAAGTTTACCCAAAGCTTTCAAATTTAGAAATTTCACCTTCACAAGCCTGTATTTCACCTGTATTTCTCTGTGCCTTTCATCATCATCCAAGGACCTAACACCTCTGCCACATGAAGCACTAAGAACAGGACGTAGAGAAATATTGTGATTATAAAACTGATTTATTGTTTACTCTCACAGGGCCTAGTTGTTACTTCCACTGAATTCAATGGGAGTTTTGCCATCGACTTCAATAGGGTGGAGCAGAGCCAGGGATTTTTGTCTGTTAATTCCTTGTGGATCATTTACAGCTTTCCAAGCACCACTGCGAAAATAAACTTCAGATTTTAAAAAAACCACACGCACACACAACAAAAAAACCAACTGGAGTTAAAATGTGTATAAAGACCAAAAGAGAACCACTGGCATAATATCCCCACAGTATTTCAGAATAATTCATTATTTACTCATTAAATCAGCAAACGACAGCTCCATTTCTCAGGATCAGCAGCATGTGCGTTTCTCACGCTGGCAGTCAAATTATTCACAAGCCATGTGCATAATTTGCTCTTGAATATATATATATAAACTTTAGATATAATGAGTTGGGCACAGAGACATGTCGAAAAGTGAGCTGGATAAGTGACAGTGCTCTGAAGGAGCCAAGCAAAGACATCCAATGCAGGGGAGGGAATGTCTCTTCTGGGTACCTTTCTGCTGTGGTTCAATTGACAGGCTCTAAGATGCCCAAGGTTCTGGTAAGGGACAGAAAGCAGGCTACAGAAAACAACCAGCCACATTGAACAGATAAACAGGGAGCCAAAAAAAAGGGAGAAAAGGTGAAAACTCACGCCCCCCCTATTTCTTCCACCTTTAAGGTGCCTCTCCAATCTTAAGTGACAAAACTCAACATTAGGACTGAATTTGTGCATTTTGCACACCATTGTTACATGTTTTCAGACAGAGCTCATCTGAAACAAAATAATTTCCCTGCAGAAGCATGGGAAATGTCACTCTTTTCCAAATTTTCACCAAAGAGTCAAAAACTACAGCCCTGGACTAAAATGGGGCAATGCTCCTAGATGAACCTCCACCATCTTTCTGAACTAATTCTCATGTCAACTGCTTGGGAAAAGTAGGACTAAGACAAAGGGGAGCTGAAAGCCTGGGGCTTGAATGGAAACTATAAAAGGAACAAAAGTAGCAGCAACAAAACTCCAAGGACTCCTTTGGCACCCAAGGAGGGAGCTTAAAATACAGCCAGCATCTCTCAGCTTTTTTTCCCTATCTTCGTCTAAAAAAAAAGAAAGAAAGAAAAGAGACAGCTCTTCGAAACAATCTCTTTCTGTGTAAGCTGTTGCCAGAGTCTGAGAGAATAAGCCAGGGTTTCTGTGCCAGCCCATTCACATGGCCAGGTGAAAAGAAACTCATTCCTTTACAGCCTGTGCTGCCCCACACAACATCTGCTGAGAAAGTGGGATGGGAAACACCAAAAAGGGGAGAAGAGAACAGCCGAGGCCTTCAGGTTAGAAGGGCAGCCCGTTCCCACCAGGGAGTCCCTCTTTCACTCGCAGACAACTGCTGCATTTGACATTTCAATGGGAACTGAGGCAGAGCAGGAGGGAGGGCGTGGAGGAGGGGGCGGTGGGAGAGCACATAAAGGGACCGGAGTGAGAAAGGCGAGGAGACAAAAATTCTTAATTTTCTCTTTCATTTCTGCTTTCAGGGTATTTCTTCTATAATACGACAGCCAGGAGAAAGAGGAGAGTTTATTTTAAAATCACACAGATAAGCAGAGAGGGTTGCTCCTGCTAAAAACTTCACGTTGAATCAATTTTATGGGGCTTACAGAGCAAAAATTTTTTTTTTTGGTCATCCCTTTTTTTGTTTGTGTTTTCAATGAGAAGGAAAAAGGATTTACATAAAACAAACAAAAAGAATGAATAGCAGCAAACCCTGCCATGGGCACCAACAGTGGATGCTTTTAGAAGAGTTACATGAATATAGTTTCAGTGTTCAGCATTGTCTGAGGGTTCAACAGACACATTCATCCTGGGAAGTAATTCTGGGGTCCTGATCACTCCATACAAACCCCTCAATGAGAGCTGCATGCTTTTTTAAATCTGCTTTACAGAAACTTTCATCCAGACACATCAGAGTAATTTTGTACAGGCTTCAAAGCAGCCCTGTGCCATGAAAGGGTATTATCTCCATTTTACAGAACAGGAAACTGAGGCCCAGAGGGAATCACGCAGGCAGCATCCAGAAATGAATCACTGGCAAAGCCTGGAATAAAACTGGTTCCCTGGAGCACCACGCTCATCTGCAGTGAATGCAGAAATGGCCTTGGCTAAGTAAGAGTCTCTCTGCTGGGTTTTATGTCAAGCCCAAATATGCAAACCAAAAATAATACAAGCAAGGCTCAAACCAAAATAAGGCTCTCATATCTACAATCAGGGGATGTGGATTCATAGAGAACATCAGTCCATGTGCTAGAAAGAACAGAGGAACCTCTCAGGATCTGGAGAGGGGATACCTGAATGGCCAGGGTGGGAAGAGGACAGAGGAGAGCCCAGGAACAACTTCTCCGAGGGGAAGCTCAGGGAGGTTAGGGCTGTCCTCGGGACAGTGAGGGGAAACCGGGCTTGTGCTTCCACAAATCCAAATGGGAAATGGGAGATTACATCCACAGTTCATAGATCACAGAAAATGGTTTGGGTTGGAAGTGACCTTTGAGATCATCTTGTTCCAACCTCTCTGCCATGGGCAGAGACACTTTCCACTATTCCGGGTGGCTCCAGGCCTCATCCAGCCTGATTGCTTTTCCCTGACTGAATTCCCATGAATCCCACTTATGGTCAGTGAGGGAGGCAAAAACCCACAGAGTTTGCAGGATTAGCACCACGCTCAACATTCAGCACATGCTATGCAGCAGCCAGGGTTGTGTTTTATTTGCTTGGAACAAGGGTCACACGCAGCAGAGAATCTCCAAAAAGCCACAAAGCCCTCCATGTCAGGGCCATAACTCAGAAGTGAGGATTAAGAGGTTAAAATGCTTTGTGTTCAGCTGTAATCAGTCTAGAGAGAGTTCAGCATCACTTACCCTTTTGTGTGTCAAAAATAGCCAATCTTTGATCCTTCTTGACTGCTGTGACTCAATATTACTTCCTTTCTGTCTCTGCTCCCCTCTAGACACACAGCAGTGGGTTTCTGTTAAAGGGCCAGCTTGCACTGGGACAGATTTAAGGGTGGTGGAACAAAGCCATGGGTGCTCCTCAGCCACCCTGGTCAGGGTGGGATGTGTCATATCCCAGTGAGCAAGGGCAACCTGGGCCTTCTTCCCTACCAGCCTGATGGCTCTACCCATGGCTCTCCAACCTCTGCAGTGACCATTTTCACTTTTATACATCACAAGCATCCATAAAAATCATCCATAAGGTCCATCAGAACGCATGGAGAGAACTTGACAAGTTATTTTGGAGCAGTTTGAGGGTTTTAAGTCAGAAGACTCCCTACAAACACCTCTGAACTGCATGTCTCTATTTTCCATCTGCAAAGCAGAAAAAAAATTTCCCACAGAAGCTACTCACACTGAAACCCTGTGGGGAAGACAAAGCTGCAAAGTACCAGTAAGAGGTTAAATTTCTCCCTGGTGCCTCACAACCAGCTGTCAGGGAGAAGACAGCAGGAGATAGGAAAAAATGAAAGTCCTTCTCTAACTATAAATAAAGTTTCCCATATCATTATTGCAGTTATAAAGCAAGTTAGGAAAGTTTCCTATATCACAGTAGATCCCCTCCCCATCCTTCAATCCCCAGAAATAAATAATTGAGTGAGAACAGAGCACAGCCACCAGGGTCTCTCAGGTGATGAGGACAAGCCCAGAGGACAAATCCATCCACCTCTTAGCAGGTGGGGCTGAAGCCACTTCCCTGTGGCCAGCACTGAGGGGTTTCACTGCTCTGGCTGCCACGTTTTGTAACACATACTCAGACACCAGATATCCATGGGGTAACGCTGAGTAATGTGCTGGCTGCTATCTGCCTCGCTGAAAGGGTGATAAGAGCCAGCCAGAGATAGTCCTGCTTCCCAAATTAGATAGCTAAATGATCAGGCCCTTGGAAAAATAACACCACCAGCCCTTCCCCACCAATACCTTTCTAGTCACAGATAAGTACTGAGCATTGCTAAGGCAATGTTAACTGCAAGCCTCAGCCCCCAGTCTTTAAAAAGTCATGACTCAGACAAGATCATGAAATTGGTTTAGATTTAATGTGACTTTTTCCATTAAAAAGCTCATTTGAATGAGCTTTGGGGTTTTTCTCCTCGCTGCTGGACTAGAAATGGGTTTTAAAACTGAAAACGTGATCAAGAGACAAGTTGCTGTTCCTGCAGCTGTTGGACTTCAGAGAAATATTTCCATTTGCAGGAAAGGTACAACTTATTCCCAGCCAAGAGATGTGGCGACAACGTGTCTCTGTCAAAAGCATTCCTCAGGCTAAGTGAGCTGCCTTCTCTGCCCTCAGTTCAAGCCAAGTTTTTACGCCCTAGTTCATATATATTCCCCCCAAAATAACTGAGACACACAAGTGTGTTAGCTCAAAGCACTGCTTGATGATAAATTTGCTTTGCTGCAGCAGTTGATCCACATATTCACACCAACAGCTTGTGGTGGCTCCCTTCCAACTCAGGATATTCTGTGATTCTATGAACTGGTTTTGGCCAATAATTTCTGGCAGAGGCAGGGCAGGTGCCTGTGTGAGCACTGAGGAGAAGCAATGACACCTGTACCCCCCACTGCTGGCTGATTCAGGGCACCAGAACCAAGTTCCTGAGATGTTTGGCTGCTAGCTTGAAATTCCTTCCACTGCCTGCAGTAGGGGCTGGTCCTAGAAACAATCAGGGAGGGACCTCAGATGGTTCAGGCTGTTTGAAATCCTGTTTGTGTCCAAGGTCCTGTCCCCACTGACCTCTTCACAGCAAGGAACATAGACATGCCTCAAGAAAGCACTGAAATAGGGTGAAGGGTTTGTCTGGGGAGGAAGGAAAAAAAAAATATGACCCCCACACATCCAAATTGAAAATCATTAAGAATTTGACAGTAAAAGGACCCTGGATGTGGAGTTCTTGTGACACTCATCAGAATATCTGCCTTGGATATAAAATACTGTGGATCCACAACTCCTAAAAGCAATGAGAAGAAAGATCTGGGGTTCATCACTCACTGAGGACCACATTGATCACAAAGCTGAGATCAGACTTCAGCAAAACCTTCCTGAGGGCACAGGAACATTCATGCATTGCACTAGTGCTGGTATCAGCAACTCCTGGAGCAAGGACCACAGCTCTTGACAGCAGCTTGGCACCGCTCAATTTTCCATCCCAAAAGGAAAGCTCAGGTTTGCCAGGTTAGTTCTGGGCAGTGCTGCACCATTGGGTGGCCTGTGAGCTGCAAGCACTGAATTTTGAGCCTTCTCTACCTATGGCTCCTTAGTCACACCCCAAGAAATCAAGGAGTGGGAGGGAGAAAAAAAAATCAGAAAAAAATTCTAAGTAAAAATGTAAAGAAGTCACCTGTAAGATGTACAAGGGTACCTTGCCTGCTTGCTGCTACAATTAGCAATATTTTCAACTGAATTTAAAGCAGATGAAAGCCCTGAAGGGTAAAGCCTAGTAAAGCCTGCTAACTTTGCCTCCCACCTACCCACCAGCTCCAGAAATAAATCTTGTGGGTTTGGAAACAGCTCTTTCCCCACCTCTAACCACAGGCTTGACAGTCCCCGCCAAGCCTCTCTGTTTCATTAGTTTCTGGATCTTTCACACACACACAAGTACTCACACACACTCCCAGAGCTGCCCACTTCCAAACCTGACAGGTAAAATTATTCCCTCCTTCTCCAGCCCTCCTAATTGCCTCCCTTGGGTTCTGGTGGAGTGCAAACGTCACTGGCTAAATATGAAGTTCATGCAGTGTCACCCTGAGCCTTTCATTAGAGCAATCTCTGTCTCAGCCTCCACACTGCCTCTCATTTCCCTGCCAGCACCCACGTGCAGCCTGCAACCCTCCAGCCCAACTTTAAATCATTATGCCAATTGCCCTCAGCCATTTAAAGATAGTTTTTTCAGGGAATCGTTTGAAATAGTTTGAAAGTGGATGGTGATTTTTTTTTAACTGTATTTTTTCTACAGCCCGTAGAAAAAATGTTTTTGTTGTTTTTTCTCTTGACAGCTCTCTCAGAAATTATTGGTAATTCAAGACCAAATTCATTCAATATCATTAAAACAGAGTCATGACATAAAGGTTTTTAAGAGCTTTGCAATATTTACCATCTTAAATCTTCACTGCTGGAGGCCTGTGATCACTCTACAGTCTCTGCATTTCTTTTCATTTTATTTTTTAGAACAAAAGTGAATTTCATGGTGAATTGTCAAAAGTGAATTTACCCTTCACAGAAGCGTTGTCTTCACAAGCTGCTGTTGTTTATGTCTCCTGAAATCCAAATGAAGATCCATGCCACCTGCAAGGAACAGCAATGATTTTAATTGGATTGTAGGAACTATCAAGAGATAAATAAGCAACAAAAAATAATTAGTATCAGCAGTTTTTTTTTTCAAACTGGGACCTGCAACACTTGCTCCTGAGCTCAGGATACAAACCAGGTCTCCCCAAAGACCTTTTGAACCTTGTGATCTTAAAAATTGAAGAATCAGCAGAGAGACAGAAGAAACTGCATGAGAATTGGACTTAACCAGAGCAAATGGAAAAAATAAATAAATCTGACTTCTGCTGGCTGTGGGTTACTCAGAAAACAGCAGTAACAAATTAAGATTTATTGTATTAATGTACAGAAAATTTGTTCAGCCTGATATTTTGCAACAGAGTGAATTAACAAACAGAATTAATTGACTAATTCATAACAAAATAAGCCATCTTCAAATTGTTTGGATTAATGACAGTAGCGAGCAGCAATTGTGTTTGTTTTCCTATCTTAAAGGTGCAGATAATAAAAACAAGGTATGCAAACCCAAGAGCTCAAACCTGGGCTCTTGAGGATATATTTAGGAATCCAGAGTTTATTCTAATTTTCAAAGTGTTCTGAACAGCTCAGCAGCTTTGAAAACCAGACCATACTGTTCATAGCCAACCAGGAATTTTTGAAGTTCATGATTTAAAAGGACATGACAAAAAGCACTGAAAATGAACAGCTAAAGTATCAAAGCATCCACTGATATCCCAACTGATTTCTTTCAGCAGTTGAATCTGTTGGTTGCAGATTGAACAGGGAGTCAAGAAATCCCATTTCTATTTCCAGCTCTGTCAGTAATGATGTTTGGCAGTGCTTCTTCTAGGAAAGATCATCTTCAAACCCTTCCATACTGGATATCAATTTGTCAATGTTGGTTTATGGCAGTGAAGCCTTTGCATTAACAATCATGGAATCATTTAGGCTGGAAAAGACCTCTAGGATCACCAATCCAACCCTGAGCCCAGCACTGCCACGTTCACCACTCACCCACATTCCCAAGTGACACCACATGGTTTGTGCACACTTCCAGGGATGGTGATTTCCCCAGCTCACCCTAAACAAAGGCAGAACCAGCCCCCTGGAGCTCAGAGCATGGACTGGGTGTAGGGACAGGAATTTTCCAGCACCCACACCCCAGAGCTTGGCCACAGGGGGATTTTACACCCACCTGTGCTCCTGCTGCCACAGACCAGGCTGCAGCATCCTCCCTCAGACTCTAAACCAGCACCTTGGTGACTGCACCAGAGCATTTAGGATACAAGCAAGTCTAATAAAACCAGCAGCTACTGCTGTAGCAGGTAGCTATGAATTTATATTCCCCCTTTGCATGAAATGCACGACCCTTCTCCAAGAATATGGAAGCATTTTTGCTCCCCCAGACAAATACCTAAAGCTAGTCAAAGGTGCAGGAATGCATACATTTATCCCAGCTGTGGGCTGTATCTGCACATTAAACACCATTTGTTCTGGATCTGACAGAAAAGCGAGCTGGAGAAAAAATGTGTCAAAGACAAGAAAAAACCCAAACCAGTCAGGCAATGGCTGGAAACTAAAAGCTGATTCCCACCACAGGTGTCCTATTTCCCCTCAGGGCCACCTCTTGCTGGTTGTGTCCCCCTCTCCCCAGATGCTACAGCTTCAGAGGCAGCAGGATGGGATGCACAGCCTGGAGCAAGCCATGCTCCCCTTCCTTTCCCCCTCCTCCTCCTGCTAGCAGAGGCAGACCAGCCACAAAGCCACTTTCCTCCACCACACCTTACTTCTTTCCCCATCCCAGCTGTGTAATGGTGCTTAAAACACTCCCAAGAAGATGCTTTTCACTGGCACTGATGGACACATGCAGGACACTGCAATTAGCAGCTGACTCCCCACCAAGGATAATGAATGAAGGAGAAAAAGAAGAGAGAAGAGGATTTGCAGCCTCAGGTGTTCAGGTACTTCAGGATAAAAAAAAAATCCTTGTCCTATGTTTCTGAAAGGTTGGAAAAGGTACAATTTGTACAGACACAAAGGGAGACACAGCTGGGTCCAACATGTCTGTACTCATCCCTTTCTTGTAAGCACCAGGGGAGCAGAAACCTTGCTGCAAGCTGGTCCCCACCTCCCTGCACAGGTTTTCCCTTCCCTCCTTGCTGCAGTCACACCTTGGCCACCCTGCTATGTGGTGCCCAGCCCCAGCAAACTGGCATGAGCTGCTGATACCTCCACAGAGGCTCTGGAGCACATCCTTCCCTTTTCTAAAGAGAGAGACACAGCCACGCAGTGATTTGGAAAAGCAGAGGCACCCAAAAAACCATCTAACTGCTTTTGGTTAGTAATGTGGAAACAGGAGCCTGGCCAGCTCTTACAAAATACACTTTTGACACTGATCTCCCAAACAGGAACAGACTTGTTCTGGCTGTGTCTACGTGTACACACACCCACACACACAGATGTGAGAGGAGAGCTCAGCTGCTCTGGGCTGCAGCCACCAGCACTAAGCCAGCCTCCATCCCCAGCACCCACCACTGCTGCTGGCAGTGATCCCTCTCTGGATAATTCCTGGGAGACCAAGCTGCTGGTCCTGCCACCAGCCTGGGGTGGGATCTGTCCCCATGGCTGGCAAAGGCTGGTAGGACCAGGAAAAGCAGGGAGGAAGGGATGAGATCTACATCCATCCAGCAAGGCAGATGAATGATTTGCCCTTCTCAAGAGCTCTGAGTGCTCCAAGTGCAAATCTTTCAGAGTTTGTGACAATAATTCCCCCCCTCCTTCCTGTTAATAAAATATAATAGCAATTCTGAGAATAATGGCCTATTATCTGAAGGCTTAAATGACAGAGCCATCAAAAGGAAGGTGAAATATAGGGCTGGGGAGTCAGCTGGGGTGGGGAGTTACAACTTCCCTGCATGGCACGTGGGCAGAGCACGACAGATTTAGTGGTTTCTCAGAGAAAAAAAAACAGTACAAAACATCAGTGTCTTACAATTTAAAATCTATCAAATGCACATTTTGGAATTGTTCTCAGTGCACATATGTCAGTTGTTTGCTCAGCTCAGAGAAATGCCCGTGACCTGCCATCCAAGCCTGTGGAATAATCAGGTTGGATGCATCCAGCTCCTGCCCCTCCTACACTACAGCTGTCACGAGGTTTGCAGGATCTGCCACCTGGAAGCCGAGGCACAGGTGGCAGCAAGGACAGCAAGGATCATGGAGAAAGTACCATGGAGCATATTTTGGTCTCTGCCACTGTCAGGGCAGGTGCAAAATGATATTTTTAAATATTTTGCCTCCTAGAAATTGATAGAAAACTAAATTCAGCTGAAAATGTTAACTTTACTTAAAGGCTTAAACTCAACAAAAACTTAAAAGTCTTAAAGTTTTGAGACCAAAAATTATATCTGACCTTTTTTTTTTTTTTTCTGTCATTGAGGGGGTGGAGGTTTGGAACCAAACTATGACTAGTCTACATTTTATTTTCCATTTTTTGCTACTTTTGCAAGAATTTGAAATTTAAGAAATGTTGTGCAAAAAGTTAATCCTTTTACCCTTTTCCTTCTAAGCATGCTGTCCTTCTTTCTTCTCCTCTTACCTTTTGTCTGTCCTTTTCACTCATCCAAAGGTTGAATTCTCCAGAACAGTCACTCAGTTACACAACCACTAACAAAAAAAAAAAACCTACAGATCCTTCCTTGCATCCAGTCTCTAATGCAAAAACTGCTTATGGCTTAATGATGCTCTTCCATGCTTCATTAGCTTTTACCAGTGTGGAAACCAGGTTTCAGACCTGTCACTGGAGCTGGGTATAGGACAGCAGGATGTATTCCTGGTTTCCTCAGTGTCCAACTTTCCTCCAAGTTGGGCTCGTTGCCGTTGATTTTGGAGGTGTCAGAAACATCACCCACGGAGATTTTCAGTGATAGGAAGCTGCTGATTTTCTGATCCAGCCCCAATTAGCAGCTGCCTGATAATTGTTGACATTGGAGAGCTATGAAGCAAACTGGGGGCCTTGATCCAATGAACCATAAAAATAAATAATAACCATAAAACTACATCTGTGCTGTAAAACCTCCCACAGTGACTGCCAGTAACGACCATGGTGACTTGAGACCCTGCCTGGAAGGGAGAGCTCTGCACCTTGACAGGGACCAGAACCTTTCTGGCCATCTCTGTGGGAGGGTGAGGGGTTGGGCAGGCAGTGAACCCCCTCTATTATCCTGCCTTGCCCCAAGAGTAACCCAGATCAGGGCTGGGATGTTGTGGGTAGATCAGCCATTGTGCCTCTGCCCATGGGGTCTTTCACAAAGGCAGGTTTTAAGCCTTTCTACAAAGTTCCAGGAATCCTCTCCTCAAGCCTGAAATGACCTATTAAATGTGGTGGCAAATCCAGGGAATACCTTTGCATTTTCTTTGAGCACATCTCCGAAACAAAACATGACCCCACACAAAGAGATTTTTGCTTTGATTCACCTTTCCCATCACCTTATCTTCCCTATTGCTTTTGCATGCATAAACTATTAAAAAAAGAGCATATCTGCCAAAATAATTTTCACATCAGAACTTCCTGAGTTATAATTACCTTTTCCCAGAAAAGCAGCCTGTGACAACTCACTTGAGTCAATCTCTGCTTGTAAAACCAATCTTGATCTTTGCCAACCCCTGGCTGTGGCTGGTTCTTAATCAGCCACCAGGCAGGGAGCAACTCAACATTCAACTAAAACCTTCAGTTCTGAATAACATGGAAATCTGGTCTTTCCATCTCTGAGGCCAATCCTGTGCAAGTTGGTGGGGACCAGAAAGGTTTTCAGGGGCTTATTTGGGGTCCAGTCCTCCACACCTCTGTGTAACAAACTCCCAATGCTTTGAACAGCAGAGGAGAAGCCTGAAAGTTTTCTTAGTGCTGCTCTAGCTTGTACAAAAGGGAAATGTTAATGATTTCACTGCCTCTACCAAGCTTAACACACCAGAACTAGCAAGGAGCTGTGAGACTCCAGGCAGAAGCTGACAGAGTA